TATCATCTGCATAGGCTGATAAAACCACCTTAGAATGACCGTTGCCATGAGGAATTAGAATTCCATTTAAATTCTTCCTCAACCTACATAATATAGTTTCGATAATAAGGCTATATAGTTGTCCAGAAATTGGACAGCCTTGCCTGATGCCTCTTGTCACGGGTATTGGAGCACTTAAACCACCCCCTACTTTCACCATCACATAAACATTTGAATACAACAACTTAATATATGAAATAAAAACATCACCAAATCCATAACCCTTTAACACTTTAAAAAGATAATCATGATCAACACGATCAAACGCCTTTTCTTGGTCCAATGACAACACTCCTAAATCATTCTTAATTTTCTGATTAAATTCAATTATATCTCTCACTAAAAAAAGACTATCTATTATAGATCTCTTAGGAATGCAATATGTTTGGTCATTTTTGATCAACAAATCCAGACAGTGCTTGAGTCTATTTGCTAAACACTTCGAAACAATCTTATAGTCCAGACACAACAGTGATACCGGTCTCCAGTTTTTTAGAAGTCCAAGGTCTCCTTTCTTTGGAAGCAATGACAAAACTGCTCGACGACAACTTATCGGAAGTGCATTATTTTTTATGCATTCTAAAATAACTTCATATAAATCTGGTCCTATTAGGTCCCAGAAATGTTGATAAAACTCCACCGGTAATCCATCAATCCCCGGCGATCTGCCGTTAGATAGTTGCCTCATCGCCTCTGTAACCTCATGAAAAGTTATTACATCATCCAGCTCTTTTTTCTTTTCTTCTTCCAGCTGAGGTAAGTCCTTAAGCAAGTCTTTAGTGCAGTCAATGTCACAACTCTCAGCTGTATATAATAGTTTATAAAAGTCTCCAGCCAATCTTCTCATTTCTGTAGGATCTGATGTCACGGATCCATCCGAACGACGAAGATGGCACATCATCTTTTGTTGGACATGTTTCCTTTCCAGGTTAAAAAAGAAAGCACTTGGAGCATCCATTTCTTTTACAGAACAGTATCTTGATCTCACCAATGCTCCTTTTGCTTGCTCATGTAGAAGAGAGCTTAGCTCTTGTCTTTTCTTATTTAACCCATGACACTGTACAGCTTCATTATTATTTACAGCTTGTCTTTCAATGAACTCAATGTCACTTTGTAAAGCTTTCACTGTTGCTTTCAGTATAATTGATGAGTGGAAAGCATAGTTTTGACAAAACATTTTTATATTTGTCTTGCCCACATCCCACCATTGACTTAGGTTTTCAAAAGAATTTTTCTTCAATTTCCAAATATCCCAGAAAACTTAATAACTTAATATTAAAAATCCAGTAATAATTAGATCTGCATGTTTTTTCCAAATTAACATCTAATATGACCATATGATGGTCTGAAAAACCATTAGGTCTAATAAAAGTATTCATCACCTTGTTGTTCCATGTCTTTTTTAGATAAAACCTATCCAATCTCGCTCCACTAATTCTATTATCAACCACTCTTAGCCACGTATACTGCTTTACTCCTTCATTCCTCGTTCTCCATACATCTGTTAACTGAAATTCATTTATAACTTTTTTTAATACATCCCTTGACTTACTATGAGGCTCTTCTCCATTCCTATCAACAACAAAGTCTATTGTACAATTCCAATCACCTCCAAGTATTAGACAAACATTATCATCATATTTTTTTAGCACTTTCCTTAACTCCATAAAAAATATCAGCCTCTCTGGACCATTATTAGGAGCATAAACATTAACAAATACAGACTCTATTCCATTATACTCAATTTGTGTTAAAAGTAATCTTCCTTTCACAATTTCTTCTATCTTTACAATACTCACACTTTTAGAAAATAAAATAGCTACCCCCGCACTATTTCTTGTGTCATGACTCAAAGCAAATTTTCCTTTCCACCACAACCCCCATTCGACCTCATTATCAGTGTCTGTATGCGTTTCTTGTAAAAAACAAACATTAACCTTTTCGATTCTTAAAAACTCAGAAATCTTTGCTAATTTATTCTTGTCCCTACCCCCATTAATATTTAATGAACCCACTCTCCACACATCCATATAGAGAATTAAGAAAAAGACAGAAACTGAAAAAAAAGAGCAGAGAGTAAAGAACACCACTTGTGATTTATTCATATCTAAGCTGTTTTTAAACTTTCGCTTTCCTTCTCCTCAACTTCGTTACCATCTTTTTCAGCCTGAATCTTTTCTTTTTATCCAAAACTTCATAGCTCACTGTTTTTTGCAGAAACAACACTGATATTATAAATTTGTCCACATCTGGAAAAAAATCTTCTACTTCTACAATTTTACCGAATGTTGTATCCAGAAAGTCATTAATTTCCTCTAAAGGGTACATGTCTTCAATCACTTGTGACCCAATTTCTGAAAACTCAGAAAGAGCATCTTCATCTCTCATTTCTGCATCACCAATATTCTCACTTCCAACACCATTTCCTCCACTACTTGCAACAGTTTCCCTATCTTCACTCATTACTTTGTTTCCCACCATTCCTGTTGTTTCATTATTCACAATCCCACTTTCCTCAGTTTGGTTGTCATTTTCTTCATTTAATTCAACAGCTTCCTCAGCTCCCTGAGGCTCATCTTCCTCTACTACAACAATAGCTTCCTCAGCTCCCTGAGGCTCATCTTCCTCTACTACAACAATAGCTTCCTCAGCTCCCTGAGGCTCATCCTCTTCCTCCTCTACAGACTGCACGTTCTCAGGATCTTTCACAGGACCAACGGCCTCATCAGCTTGAGCTTTATGCGGGCATGCTAAACGCTTATGCCCAACGTCTCCACACTCAAAACATTTCATATTCCCAGTGTTTGCATAAACCATGTACGCTCTTCCTTCATGCCAAACTTTAAAAGACACGTCTAACGCCTGTTCATTCAGGAACATAAAAACCTGTCTTCTAAACGACATTACGTGCTTTAGCGCTTCATTTCTACATCCAAGAGGAACGGTTTTAATGGCGCTAGCTAACTTACCATATCGCAAAAGCTCTCGTTCTATCTCATTACTCTGGATGAAAGGCGGCACGTTTGACACAGTCACCTTAATAGTTGGAGCAACCAGCGGCAAAACAGTAACAAAGTCTCCACTTCCCACTATTCCGCTGCTTATAAGATGATTCACGTGGTTCTCTTCTTTTAAAAACACAACCACCGCTTTATTCATTCGCGAGGCAGATGAAATGTTTTCATAGCCGATCTCCTGTCCAACTGCAAGTAGCACTTCCTCCACATTCACCCCGTTCGCCGTCACACACCTGACTCCATGGCGGATGGAGACAGGTGGCGTAAGGGACGCCATCCCGCTCCCTAACTAATCCTCAAAATACTCTTATCACAACAAAAAAAGTTTACTCAGGAAACTTGAAACAAAAATTTAGAAAAGTTTGAAACAAGCACACGCTCACCCTCACCTCGTGTGAACCCTCACACGCACCCAAACACTCCCAGCATGCACCGAGAGAGAGAGAGAGAGAGAGAGACAGAGAGAGAGAGAGACAGAGAGAGAGAGGAAACATCAGCAGATTAAAGGATGTCAACCAACACACATTAAACATCCATGAGACAAAACCTGGAGCACAGGTGGGGAATGAAAAGGTCCATTTAACAGCCGCCAGTAAAGACACAGCACACGTCTGTGCATCCAGGTTGAGGTTTAGGTGTGATCTTTCTTTCTTTCTTTCTTTCTTTCTCCTCCAAAACACTCGAGCGTCAAATCTGATTTAACTTGAAACGTGATGGATAAGAAAGCTAATGTTATTTATTGATGGCACTGAGACGAGGTATTAAACGTGCCCGGGACTGTTTATCATCAGGCTGCAGCCTCTGCTGCTCTCCGTCGCCTCCTACAGACACACAGCGGCAGCAGAGCGAGCTGCCGCGCCGTCACGACAGAGACGGTGAAGTTAAGTTAGCTCCAAACTATTGCAAGTACGTGCAATAAAACCTTCGTTAGTAAAAAGACAATAATTTATTAATACACCTGTCTGTAAGGTAAACATGTAGAAAGGGTTCATTTAAACTGCCCTGTCGTCCTGTATGTTTTATAAAGCACAGCTAATGTTAGCTTGGCAGTTAGCCAAATGTCGTTACAACAGCCAGGAACACTAACGAACCAGCGGTGTCGACGATCCTGGCAAACAACCCCACTGAGATTAAATAGCTGAGTTTCCCTACCAGTCAGTCAGAACTGAAGAAGTCTCTCGGATGAGGGGCTTGTAGTATCTTCAACAAAGTCCAGCTGCCCTTGACTTTAACCTTCTTTGGATAACTATGACCTGGATGACTGAGAATCTTCACAGACATGTTCTGTTTTGCTCACTTAGTACCTGTTCTGTCTCTTGTCTTGGTTCAGTCCTGCATTTTAGTGGTGTCACGCCCTGTTTCCTGTTTTGTTCTGGAGGTTGTCTACATCTGTTTGAATCCAGCTTGTTTCCTGTCTTGTCTTGATTACAAGAGGTAAAGTAAATAAAGTATATCTGACACCACATGTGTCTCATCTGTGTATTACCTCCCTGCTCATTAGCCAGTGTTGAAATGTTTTGTCATTCCTGTTCTGCTCTTGTTGGTTCATTGTAGCTTGTCGTGCTCTGTCTCGTGTGATGTCTGCCTGTTCGTTTCATCTGAACTTGCTCCGCTCTGTTTCCTACATTTAGGTCCTCAACTTTTCAACTACACACCAAACCTTGACATAATGTCAGATTCAAATGCTAACACGCTGACGTTTAGCAGGAATACTGTTCACCATCTCAGTTTAATACTTTAATTTAGTTCAAGTTTAAGTAAATACAGCTGAGTCTGATGAGAATGTCATCAGTTCTGCATGTGTTTGGTCATAAACCAAAGTGATGGACACATTAACATGTTGAACTTCTACTGTTTACCCTCTGATAATAGTAAGCTACATTTTTTAACTGAACACCCACTTAAACACACTTTCAGTCAGCACTCAGGTGTTGCTAAACTCACCTGTAATTCAGCGATGGTGACTTTGTGGTAGTTCTTCTCCTCGTCCCGCCGTTGGTCCTGTGGGACAGTGATGTTGGCAAGCGCCGTCTCAAACTCCAGAATCTGCTGCATCTGAAGCTGAGTGGAGCTCTTCTCCCCCCCCAGCAGCATCCCCAACTCCACCATGTAGTCCAGGTACGCCACCAGCACCTGGAATTTGGATAAATGTCGATTTCTTTCATCTTTGTGTTATTAACTTGACACTGTGAAGCCTCAAATAATCTAAATAATTTTAATAAGCTCAAATGATCTTTGGTATTTTGAAACTTCCCAGCTGGAATGACGGGAATTCTCACCTTCTCATTGGCTGTCTTGTTGAGGTAATAGTCCCTGGACGGCAGGAAGAGCCCTGATTGGTCCACCTGGCCAGAGGAGATTAACGAGTGAAAACTCTTGTTCTGCAGCCTGACATTTGACCACGCAGAAATAGTACACAAGAGTAACCTGTGGACCAATCAGCTTGAAACACCTGAGCAACATTGACAACCAAACCTGTTCTGGAGCTTTCAGTATCACCTTACATTCATCCGCAGATAGAGTTGTCATGGAATTAAAGACGTATAGATTGTTTCAGAGCACTTTAAGGACTTCTCACCCAACATGCTGATGACTGTCGGTTTTGTTTCGCTTTGCTGTGTCTCAATTCCCCCTTCTGTACTCTCACTTGCTATTCTGAGGGTATAAGAGCTTTCACAAAATGCAGTCCACTGTTAGCACCCAGATGGTGCACTGATAACGGTCAAAAAGTTCAGTGTGGAGTGCTGGACAGTTCTCATGCTCATGCTGGCTTCGTAGCAGAGGGGGAGGGGGACTTACTAAATGAACATCATTTTGTATTGAAGAAGACTTGAAACTAGCAACTGAGACCATAAACTCATTAGCAAAGTGTTTAATGAGGTAATAAATGAGGTAATAAATCCGCCGAGAAGTAGCCTCATTTTACCATTATTTCTAATGGAGCCGGACTTCTTTTTGCAACCAGAGGAGTCGCCCCCTGCTGGCCGTCCGAGTGGAGACACAACCACCATTTTTATCTTTAATACTCCCAGAGGTCTGGTTCTGTCTGAACAGTCTAGGTTAGTCTGGTTCTCAGTGGTTCTGGTGTACCTGGATGACGTTGCTGTTGGAGTTTTTAGGATCAGCGCTGACTCCGACACTGAAGAAAGGCTGAGCTCTGTATGGACCAGAAACCACCTTCAGAACCTCCATGAAGTTCTCCTTCTCCCAGGGACCCGTCATGTTCCAGCCCCCGATCTACAGATAGAAAAAAGAGTCCAACAACAGACCAATGTTGTTAGAGCCTGAACAGTACAGATGATCTTTCTTGTAAATATAATTATGACCGAATATGATTACATCTCTTTAAAGACAAAGAGGAATAAAATTCTACACCTGTTTGCTGATGATACTCTCTTTTATTTTAGACTGACTGCTTTTTAGTTCACATTTGATTTGTTTGCTGATAGGGATACTATTCATTTCATAAACTTCACCTTGAATTATATTACATAGACCTCCATATTTCATCAGAAGACACTAAGAACAACATATTAATTTCACCAGCTTCATACATCAGACTTTGGATCAGAAGTCTTTAGCTAAAAGTCTGTTTTCCTAATCATTTATATTATGTTTTATTAAAAATGTCATGACATTGAAAAGATCATATAAAGATTGTAAGATTGTGCATGAATATAAACTTTTATCATAATCTCGTCATTGGCAATCTTGTGGATGTAAAGTTATAGTTTGGTGCTGAAGGAGGTCATGAAGTCATTAAAAATTGAATGGGTTCATACTTTGGAGATCAGGAGATGTAATTAAAACATGTCCAGCAATCAGGACCGCTCAACAAAAACCACATCTTTATTTCTTCCTCTCTCTGATAAATGTGCAACTTCTCCAGACTATCTCTGCTTTCTGCTTTTAATTCCTGTCTTCTATCTACAGTCAACAATAAAAAATGCCCCAAAATACTTTATAAAATACGTCCCTTCACGTCCCTTTGGGAAGTTTTCCAAACATGTGTCTATGAACCAAAGTGTTTCACTGACTACCGTTAAACTTCAGTTAATAGACTGGGCTTTAATTTGCTAAAATCACTGAACTGTATTTTGGACAGGCCTTCATTCCTTTCGCAGATAACTTTTGCTCAGCAAAGATACGCTGCTATCAAACTGTTTATTTCAACAAGTATGAATATTACGTCTATAAAAATGATGACATCAAGTAATATATTAATTACAAATCATTCATTTGATCTAGCGCCGACAGACAGCTTAGGCACTTTTATTTTGAAGGCAGCAGGGTAACAAAAACAAGAGGTTTTAAGAGGTTTTATACATCCAAAGAACTTTAGTTGAAGTTTGGTTACCTTTGCGATGAGGTCCACTAGAGGCTGAGCTCCCAGCTCCTCGATCCTCTGCGTGTTGAGACAGGACAGGTAGTAGGACTGAGTCTTCCTCTCCGCCTCGCTGCTGCTGTTAAAAGTCCCGTTCTCTACAAAAAAACAACAGCACAAACGGTTACTGTACAGCGCAGAGGGGACTACCCCGCCCAAAACAGTGTACAGATACAGCAGAGGGGAATACCCCTCACAAACCAGTGTACAGATAAAGCAGAGGGGACTAAACCCGACCAAAACAGTGTACAGGTACAGCAGAGGGGACTACCCCTCCCAAACCAGTGTACAGGTACAGCAGAGGGGACTACCCCGCCCAAACCAGTGTACAGGTACAGCAGAGGGGACTACCCCGCCCAAACCAGTGTACAGGTACAGCAGAGGGGACTACCCCGCCCAAACCAGTGTACAGGTACAGCAGAGGGGACTACCCCGCCCAAACCAGTGTACAGGTACAGCAGAGGGGACTACCCCGCCCAAACCAGTGTACAGGTACAGCAGAGGGGACTACCCCGCCCAAACCAGTGTACAGGTACAACAGAGGGGACTACCCCGCCCAAAACAGTGTACAGGTACAGCAGAGGGGACTACCCCGCCCAAAACCGTGTACAGGTACAGCAGAGGGGACTACCCCGCCCAAAACCGTGTACAGGCGAGGCAGCACTCAATACTCGGCTTGCTACCTCTCCTCGTTTTATGCAGAACATGGGTAACAGATTGTGTTATAAGAGCAGCGTAACTCTGAATCAGGAGGTGCGGTGCAGAAAGTGACGGTGACGGACGCGAGTGGAGGAAAATATTCTGGCAGTAAATGTACGGTGTCTGTTACAGAGTGTCGGTTTCTCAAGACCAAGAAAAGTCTGTTGTTTCCCACCTGCTGGAAAAGTGAAGCCGGTTAGCACTAAGTTAGCGAACATCTCCCCTTCAGCCTGCAGCTGAGCAGCTTCTACAGCAGTAGAGCGGGTTGGCTGTTAATCGGAAGGTCGGCGGTTCAATCCCCGGCTCCCCCAGGCTGCGTGTCGAAGTGTCCTTGGGCAAGATACTGAACCCCGAATTGCCCCTGGCGGCTGTTCTGCCAGTGTGTGAATGTTAGTTTCTGTTTGAGCACTTAGGAGTACTCAGTGTATGAATGTGTTTGAATGCAGATGTAGTGTAAAAGCGTTTTGAGAGGTCGAAAAGACTAGAAAGGCGCTATACAAATACGGAGCATTTAACATTAGCTCAATTTTTAGAAAGTAACTGGAAGCTGTATTTTATTACTGCCTACTTGTCCAATGTATCGAATATCAGGTACAAACTGAGACTAAACTGGTGCAGCCTGCAGCTCCGTCCTCTACTGACTGACGGAGGTGACTGGAGGAGCTGAGGTTAGTAAAGCAAATTAGTGATGCAAACTAGTCCTATTAAGCTCATTAGGAGACGTTTCTGTTTGGATTTTAATGTGCAAATAAAATGCACCTCAGAAGGGAGGAGGTTTCTCATTTTGCCTATTTTTTATATTAATGTCCACTGATAAATGTCAAAAGCTGTAAAATGAAGACACAAAAGGCAAACATGTAATGATTCTGAGGTCATATTAACAGGGTTTCAGGGGGCAATGCCCAAAACATGCTGAGCCATCACTGTAAAATTACTGAGGAGCAACAGAACCAACCAAATTACTTTCTCCAGATCTAAAGGTTGGAGTTCCTCCAGCAGACTGATCTTTGGCAGCTTTTCCAACTATTTGTTCAGAGATATGGTGAAAATAACGGCCCAATATGATTTCCAATGATAACATATTTTTCATTGGAAAACATAACATTTTCTTGGGGGAGGATCCCCAAAACCCCCGACCACCAAAACATTCATCTAAAGCTCACATTAAACTGGGAAAACACTGCAGTTTGAAGCTATTCTAAGGTGCATCACATGCTCATGGACACAAGAGCAATGTTGCTGAGACATGTTGTGTTGGGGTTTTATATTCAGACAAAAAATTTGCTTCAACTCCGCTGCTACAACTCCATCCAAGGGGAAACACTGAGGTACAGCAGAGGGGACGGCCCCACCCAAAACACCATATCTTTCATTCATTTCAGCACCGTCTCACAGGATATTGAGTTCCTCATTCCTCATTAATAAAATGTAATATTTTATATTAATGATTATGAAAGTCTGATTTATACTAAATAATAATTACTATTAAAAGGTTAAAAATTTAAATGTTCAATGTAATGTCTCTCTCTCTACCTGTCTCTCTCCACCTGTCTCGCTCTCTCGCTACCTGTCTCAATTCAATTCAAATTAGCTTTATTGGCATGAATGAAATAACAACTTTGCCAAAGCATCATATATACACAACATAAGATCAATCAGCCCCATACATTTCATTAAACAATTAAAGCGTAAAGTAATCAAAGTGTATGTGTGTTTGTGTTTTAAAAAAAAAGAGAAAAATTTAAATAAAAAAAAAATAAAACAGTAAGGGTGTGTGTGTGTGTGTTATATATATATATATATATAAAAAATTTAAATAAAATAAATAAATCAAACAGTAAGCGTGTGTGCGTGTATGTGCGTTATATATACTGTATATTAAAAATTAAAATAAATAAATAAATAAATAAATAAAACGGTAAGTGTGTGTGCGTGTTAAAAATATATATAAATAAATGAAACAGTAACGTTTGTGTATATATTAATAGACAAAAATTAGAATGAATTGATTAAAAAAAATAATAAAAAGAAAAAATATCAGTATCAAATGTAAAAACAAAAAAATTACTAAAATATCAAATGATCAAAATAATAATAATTTGAAAATCTGTTCAATTATTTATCAGTCTGAGTTTCCACTGGTTGTCCTCACTTCTTAGCATGACGAGACATATTTTGCAGCAATTATTTCACATTTGGGCATTTCTCCCAGTAAATAGGGGAGTTTCTGTGTGTCTGATATGAATTTGAATTCGGGGTATATTTGGGAAATGTTTGCAAAGTGTTTTTGTCTTTGTGTTTTATATTTGGGGCATTATATAGCTCTGTCTCTACCTGTCCTCTGTCTCCACCTGTCCCCTGTCTCTACCTGTCCTCTGTCACACTGGGAGCAGAGTCTCTCCTCTTGTGGTAGCCAGCTCTGTCTGTGTCGACCCTTTTCTATGGCCAGGCTGTGTTCACTCAGTCTGTAACATTTTTCTTAGTTTAGGACATTTTATTGTACTCAGGTAATTTGCCAGTGTGAATTCTCTTTTTAGGGTCAGATAACATTGTAATTTACTTTGTGTTTTGGTCGTTTCTTTCCAGTATTCAATATATTTTTCTTTCTGCTTGCTGATAATTTGGTTTGGTCTGCTTGAGTTGGTGTTGCTGTCCTGAGGCTGTTGGGAACTTGTTACTGCAGAGAGCCTCAGAACCAGCTGGCTGAGGGGACTCTTCTCTGGTTTCAGCTCCTGGTATGTTAGGGCTTTGTGAGGATATGTCTGGGGTTTAACTGATTTTAAGTGATCTTTTCTGTATTTTTAGTAGGAGGGGGTATTGGCCGAGCTCTGCTTTGAACAGGTTATTTGGTGTCTTTCTCTGCACCTGCAGGATGCTCTTACAGAACTCAGTATGGAAAGATTCTATGATTGTTTTGTCCCATTTGTCAAATTCATTATTAAGTTTTGGCCCCCAGATTTCGCTACCATATAGAATTATTGGTTCTAGTACAAATTGGAAAATTTTCAGCCAGATTTCAATTGGAATATATATTTTAAAGTTTCTTTTTATTGCATAGAAAGCTCTCCTTGCTTTGTCCCTCAGATCTTTCACAGCCTTGTTGAAGTTTCCTGTGTATGTAATGTTGAGGCCAAGGTAACTGTAGTTTTTTGTGTGTTGTAATTTAGTGGTATCTAAATAGAAATTGTGTGTAACCTGATTTCTGTATTGTTTCTGAAAGATCATTATCTTAGTCTTTGCTGTGTTTACTGTCAGGGCCCAGGTCTGACAGAATCTCTACAGGAGATTAAAGTGCTGCTGCAAACCTTCTTTAGTAGGTGAGAGCAACACTAAGTCATCTGCATACAGCAGACCTCTGATCTCTGTGTCGTTCAGGATGAGGCCAGGTGCCGTGGAACTTTCTAATTGGTTTGCTAATTCATTGATATATAGATTGAAGAGAACTGAACTGAGATTGCATCCCTGCCTCATTCCCCGGCCCTGGGAGAAGAACTCTGTTTGTTTGTTTCCAATCTTTATGGCACATTCACTTTTTGTATACACGTTCTTAATCAAATCATATGTTTGCCCTCCAATGCCACTTTCAAGTAGCCTATAGAAAAGGCCCTCGTGCCAGATGGAATCAAAGGCTTTTTGGAAGTCAACAAAACAGGCATATACCTTTCTTTTCTTAATGTTTAATTCTTGATCAATTAGAGTCTGGAGGGTAAATATATGGTCTGTTGTGTGGCAATTTCGCAAAAAAACTATTTGGCATTTATGCAGAATATTGTGGTTATCAAGAAAGTTCACAAGTCGTTTATTAATGATGTTGCAGAATATTTTTCCCAGGTTACTGGATACACATATTCCTCTGTAGTTATGTATGTCTCTCTCTACCTGTCTCTCTCTCTCTCTCTCCTATGTCTCTCTCTCTACCTGTCTCTCTCTCTCTCCACCTGTCTTACCCAGGAGGTGTTTCAGCAGTGCCTGGTTCTGCTCCCAGATGCTGTTGAACGTGGACCAGCGAGATCGTCCGTCAGGCAGCGGGTTTTTCCTTATCCAGCCTCCGCAGGCGAACTGGTAGAAGTCGTGGCACGGGTCGACGCTGCGGTCCATCGCTTCCACCATCTGACTCGCCACAGTGACACACGCCTCCGACAGGCACAGGCCACGCCCACTGTCTGCAGAGCATCATGGCACACAAAAAAAATAGAAGTGTTCAGAAAACTGAAGAGGACTCAGTCTGAAGCTGCAAGAAGTATGTTTAATCTGTTAGAATATAAAGCTGTATCTGTTCAGGAGGTAAGGAGGGTAACGACGGGGGACACGGGAGGATGGGAGTCGGTAGAAAAGGAAAGGCGGGGAAGGAAAGTATAAGAAAGGAAAGGAGGAGTTAGAGACGCAAAGAAGGAACTCTGAAAAGAAAAGGGAGATGTAGAGAAGGATGGGTGGGAGCAGGAAAGGGACTGGGAGGCAGAAGAGGAAAGGATGAGGTATAGGGAAGGAAAGGAAATAGGAGGCAGAGAAGGAAATTAAAAGGAAATAAAAAGGAAGGAAGAAGAGAAGAAAGACATAGGAAAAGCAGGGAGGAGGAAGAGAAAGATGGGTGGGTGTAGGAAAGGAAGGGAATAGAAAGGTAGGGGGGGAGAGAAAGGGAGGAGTATGAGAAGGAAAGGACGTGGTAGACATGGAAAGGAGGGGGCAACAAATGATAGGAGGAGGTGAGAAAGTAAGGGAAAAGAGAGGCAAGAAAATTAGGAGGCTGAGAAGGATATGTGGGTAGGGCAGGAAAGTAAGTGAAGGAAATGAAGGAAAATACAGAAAGAAAGGGGTGGCAGGACAAGAAATTAGGTTAAGAGATGAGATGGGATGAGGGTGTAGCGAAGGGTATGTGGGGTAGGAAAGGATAACAAAGGAAAGGCGGAAGGAGAGGAAAGCGGGGGGTAGGAAAGGATAGAAGAAGCAATGAGGAGAAGGCACTGGTACGAAGGAAAGGAGGAAAAAAGTGAAGGAAAGGAAGGAAGGATGGGGAGGTGAAGGGTAGGCCGGGGTAGGAAATAAGAGCATAGACGGAGGCAGGTGTTTAACGTTGTTACCTGAGCTGAATCCTAGACCCAGCACCAGCAGACAGGCCAGCAGAGCCAGCAGGGCAGCCAGCAGCAGGACCGACAGCAGAACCTCCAGCTGAGTCCTCCTGCCCAGAATATCCACGCCTCCCTTCCTGAAACCCACCTGAAAGAGACAATGACAGAAACACTGAATCCAAACAGCTGAACAAGAACATTATCTATGTCTTGAGCTCTAAACCCAGCTCCAGGTCCTAACCCTTTCTGGATCTCGAGGTGTCCGCAGGCGTAAAAACCCGGGAACATCCTGCACATAGAGTCCTTCTCCGCGGATGCTCTGATCTCTTCTGATATCATAGTTTTTGATCCCGTCACCAATGGCTTTGATTCAATGGTCTCCTAAGATAAGTAGCCTGAAAGTCTCCTTGTTCAGCTTCCTCTACTGCTGGTGTCAGCTAGCAGCTTCTTTGGTTGTTTCCACAACAGGCAACAAAAACCTTCTGACCACAACTTTGAGAATCTATTTCATCTCCCAAGAAGGCAAGAATAATTCTCCCCCCAGGTAGGAACTGAAGACCTCACCAGGTCTGTCCAGCAGCCCTCCCCCCAACTCTCTTTAAGTGTCCAAGACATACAGCCACAGATCTGATGACACAACTACAAAGTTGGACACTGACCGTTGATCTCAGGCGTTCTGGTACCATCTATACTGTAATGGACTGGGTGACATATTGTCTGGTAAACCTTTAAACACATTTATCTGTTTTTAGATCTGGACTTCTTAGATCAGATTTCGTGTCTCACCTGTACCTTAAACAACATGCCTCCAACATGGCAGCCCCTCACACTTTTTACTGCAATATTTAAGGCATCACTGAACCTCCTCTACCAGCACTACCCACAGAGCTAACATTTGTTGTCTCTGAGTGTCTGACTGGCGGCGCTCCAGACCCCCCGCCGCTCCTCTCTTTGTGGCTGTTGGCCCCACACGACGGTGGCCCCCTTTTGAGTTTTTAGTCCGAGCCCTCCCAAGGTCTGGCTCCAGGAGTGACGCTGTCCTTGGATTTGAATCTCTCTGAGTCCAGGACTTCACCTGGGACCAGTTAGCCGTGGAGGATTTCAGGAGATGAGGAGCTGAGCTGAGTCCCTGTCCTCCCTGACAAACAAAATGTCATTTCTGTACACCCTTCTTGTTGCTTTTTCTGTCCGTGTGTTTGTTGCGTTCACTGACCTCCACTCTGTCAGGAGACGAGGCTGCCTCAGCCGGAGCGTCCGACACTTCGTCCTCCTCCAACGTAGCTCTCTTATAGCTGGACATCTGTGGAGACAGAGAGACAGGCTGTCAGTTCCGTTACGCCCACGCTGATGCAGATAGATTAGAAAAGTATCTGGGTTAATCGAATCTGCAGGGTGGAAACAGAACACAGCTTTCCACAGGACCATCAACCTTCACAAATATGGTCAAGTCAGGACAAGTGGGTATAGATAATGGATGGTCCAGAACCAACATAACTGACAACATAACAGTCCTTCACAGAAATAAAACCATATATATTTAATGTTATTATAGATAATAATATATAAACATGTGCTAGCAGCATGGCTAAAAAATCCGAAATAACTCAAAAAACATCTGATGGATTGCTTTGAATTTCCGTACAGACATTAATAAACCCCGGGGATAGATCCAGCTGACTTTGGTGATCCACAGACCTTTCCTCTAGCGCCACCAGCCTGTTGACAATCGTGTTTCAGAGTAAAATATCTTTAACTCTATTCAAAGTCCCCAGAGGATACGTTCTTATGACTTAGGAGGTTTTTCTAATCCTGTCAAATATCTCAACGTCTCAATTTTCTTTTAAATTTAACCTTCATTTAACCAGTTGATAATAGAAATAGCAGCATACTGACAGAGCAGAGTTACAGATGAGAACACCACACACCTGCAACAACCAAAGGACAGTCAGTACAACTTTAAGACCACTTAAAAGCAATTTGTACATGTACGTTTAAAGGAAATGCAGTGACACCAATTTATAGTTTCTAGCTCCATGTCTTTCATCCAGTGTTTGAATTCAGCAAATGTTTCACTTGCAGCCTGCAGTGTATTCCAGGTGGAGGGAGCAGAGTAGCCTCTCTGACCGAGCCCTGTAAGGACCCTATAGCTACAGACTACAAATACAAGTCACCGGAGTGCAGATTATAGGAACTTGTGTTGTGTGACATGTAAGTGCAAAGATAAGAGGGAGCACATCAAGAATACTTGACTTGTAAAACTAAGCCAATTATGTGCCTCCTTATTGGTAACGAGGGTCAGTTTGTCTTTTTGTGTATTTGTGAATTTACAAAAAAGGTGATATATTGGGATATTTATCGTTATCGGGATATGAATTCTTTGCCATATCACTCAGTCCTATCCTTTAATGTTTATTTTATATACAAACTCTTCCACTAGCACTTTTCCTAACAGGTAGTGTTGTAGTCAAGACCGCCCAAACCGAGACCGAGTCAAGACCAAGACCTGTTCCCCACATCACATGACACACAATAAAATGTGGAACGAGATCATAAGTACTTCTCAAATTGGTTTGAAAGATCCACATTCCTATTAAAACACCCACAAACAAACACTAAGAGCTGAAATCAATGTAAGCATCGCCATCGCGGGGAAGGGGGACGGTAACAACACATTTTTAATTAGGTTCATTTGAAGCAATATGTTTTACATCCAATCAAAGTTAGGATGTTAACAAATAAATCAGACAATGCAAAAGCAATTTATTGATAATCCCAAAAGTTGACTGCTCTTGAAATAAAATCCAGAGTCCTCAGTGTCTGAGACCGAGACAAGAACGCGTACAAATGCGGTCGAGTCCGAGACGAGTCCGAGACGAGACCAAGACCTTCAAAAAGACCGGTACTACAACACTACTAACAAGCACCTTATTAAGTATGCAGATGATACCGCCTTGATGAGCCTACTATAGGATGGGGAGCAGGAGCATGGGCCAGTTCTTGATTACTTCTAAAGTGGTGTTCGAAGTCAAGCCTCCTCCTAAACACCTCAAAAACAAAAGAAATGTCCATCGATTTCAGAAAGTTGCAATCCTCTAACTACTTTTATCAGTGGGAAGCCTATACAATCTGTTACAAATTATAAAAATAATGGCATCGTGCTCGACCATAAGCTGAACTGGGATCTGTGGTCTGACCTCATAAAGCACTAAGACACAACAAAGAAAACTTTTTAAAGAAACGTCCACAGCAAAATGCTTCAGATGTTTCACCGTGCCTTTATTAAAAGTGTTTCGTCCTTCTGCATCATCTGCTGGTTTGGCACAGAAGAGGTCTGTTAGAAAAACAGTAACAACGGCCAGTAAACTAGTAGGGGTGAAGTTACCAAGTATGAAAGGTATCTACAGGGAAAGGATGATGAATAAGGCAGGAAACATTGTTGGTGACAGGAGGCACTTTTCATTTATTCAATCAGCTGACGCTTTTATCCAAAGTGATTTACAATTGCTGTATATGTCAGAGGTCGCACGCCTCTGGAGCAACGAGGGGTTAAGTGTCTTGCTCAGGGACACAGTCTCTCACACCCAAGGCTTGCGTCTTATCCACTGTCGCATCTGGGCGACGATATTCCCTCTATTCTATTCAACAGGTAAATGATATCAGTAAGCAGGATGTTCAGCTGCTCTGGCCTGTCTAATCTATAGCAAGCTGCGGGTATCAGTATGTCAGTCGGTTATGTGATTGTGCTGCAAACTAATTTCCCTACAGGGACAAATAAAGATCGATTGAGTTGAGTGAACAACAGGGGTGTGAACATGCACTTAGCCCACAAGACGAGACTTCAATGAGGAAATATATGACTGGAAAAATAGTCTTTCATTTGACTTTGACAGTGCAGCTGCATATTAAAATGTTGCTTTTCATATTGTTCGTGTCTTGTCCGTCACTCTGTCGCCGTTTAATTAATTAATTCCACCAGGTCCCCAAGATGCTGCCACACAAACGATTCAAGTTGGTGGGGGCATCTTCTACGCTACAGTGTGAGACAGCTTTTTGAGAACTCACCGCACCCCTGGTGAACATGGGAAACATTAATCCTGCCACACATCAGCATGTTAGCATGGTGTCCAAATACAAAGTAAGTGATACCAGCAGTAGATGTGACGGCGTACCCTCCCTTTGATCAGATGGAAAAACTAACCTGGCTACTGTATTTATTGTTCTTTCTAATGATCGCCGTATTTTCTGTATTTATCATTCATCGACTGCTGTTTCTAAGTCAAAAACCCCTCTGGGAAATTAAAGCTTTTTATCAGACGCTATAACGTACTGAGGTTTGATACTCGCAACTTCTTTCTGCTCTTCTTTATCATTATTTGCCATCTGGTGTGAAGCTGAGCTGCATCATGTCATGTTATCCTGCTGCTTCCTGTGTGCACTTTAATCTAACCCAATGTTTGGCGTAACAGATATAAAAACAAACAAACAAACAAACCGTATCAGTGCGAACTCTTGATAAACAGGCAGAAACACACGAAGAGAGCTGAAGCAGTCACGGGTTTAAACCGAGAGGCTCAGCATGAGGAGATATTTAACTGTGATCAAATAAATCTCCACTTCCTCTGTTTACACTCAGCTCCTCGCTCTCTCTCTCTGTGGTTCTGTCTCTATGTCTCTCTCTCCCTCCCCTCCCTCAGTCATTGTGTGGCAGAAATATAAACAGCGCGGCGCTCCACCCTGCAGAGAGAAACAAACGCACTGAACGGGACCGAAACACATTTTAGAAACAGCTGCACTGAGCTCACCTCGTTTCACCACAACACCACCTCCTACGCCGCGCTCGGTTACCATGGAAACCACCGCGGCGCAGAGCGTTGCGCTAAGTGTTAGCATGGTAGCGTTGACGCCTGCTGGTGTTTCGTCCAGATCAGCACATCTGATCTCCTAAAGACCAGATACTCTGATACTCCTACATACTCCTCACATGGATCCTGAGAGTCTGGCGACCTCTTGACCTCTCTTTCTGTTTCCTTTCATCGACAACATGTGGCCAAACATATGTGGACTCTCTGTGTCTACACGCTCAGTGTCCTTCTGCTCCAGTCCAGTTTTTAGTGAAAGGAAATCTACTGACCTCTGTGTTTTTTTATGAGCATTTTGGTGTTTTAGAAACTATTACAAGTCTCTCCAGGATTTTGAAATGTAACGATCACAACTATTAACATGCTGTAAAACTTAACAGCCCGGGCTTTTATTTTCTAGAATCACTGAATTGACCCTGCCTATATTTGAATTGACAGGCCTTTAATTCCTCTCGCACAAAACTGATACAGGCTGCTATGAAACAGTTTATTTATTTCAAACAGAATAATACTAATGTAAAAATGATCCAATAATATCAAATACACGTCATTCATTTGATCCAGCTCCGACAGACGGCGTCTTATGCGCTTTTATTTTGAAGGCAGCAACGTAAGGAAAACAACAACAGGCTGCAGGATGAGAGAAGTTAGCAGACAGAGAGCGACGGACTTCACATGACAGGATTCACTACTTGGATTCATTTTTCTGAAAAGCTGTTCTGATTCTTTTGATGGGTGGAGCCTCACAGACTGAAGGAAGATAAATAATCAGGAATGGACACATTTGGACTGAACGAGGCTTCAAAGGTGACGAGAGGCAGCACTTTTCTCTCGTACCAGGCAGGTTACAGCGGTAAATCTACCAGAATTAGACTTTGGGGCTCGTTGTTTTCGTTAAATGAACAGAACGACTGAATTGTGGAGAATCTAACCGATCTAAGGATGTGCAGCGTGTCCACACTGACATATTGACTCTGCTATTGAAGTTTTACGGTAAATTAAATGAATCCCTTTGAATTCAGTGCAACTTGCACTTTTGACAAATCACTGCAACTTTTCTTCAAATGTGACCTCTCATCGCTGTTTCCCGCCAAACGTCACACAACAGCAAACTCACTTCCTTGTTGAGAAGACGCAGGAGACGTGTGCGACACCAACGTCTCGCATTGACCAACAACAACAAAAGCAGCAAAGGGGACCGTGAAGACCAGGACCCAGATCTTCGTCAGGGGGGAAACTGTTCTGCAGAGCGTGCAGCATTGTAGTCGAACATAAAAGAAATCGTCTACTGACACTTTGCCGCCACAAAACATACGGAGAGAACATCAGAAACACACGGAGGACGTCAGACGAGACGCCGAGACACTGAGGCTGCTGCGTCCCGCTCAGCTGCAGGACAGAATCAAGGTCAGCTGGTTTAAATATGCAGGGTCAGGGTCAG